GCAGGAATGGGTCCCACTTGACAGATGAGAACTCTGAGGCTCAGAGAAAGGACAGCCTGCTTGGCATATGCGTTATACATGGCAGAGCTGGGATTTGAATTAGAATCTGACTCCAGAACCTTCACTCTCCTCGTTATAACTGTCTCCCCAGCCCCTGTCATGACATTCCAGTCCCTCTCCAATATCAGTCCCATCACTTCCCAGCACATTACCCAAACACTAGTCAACCTGGATGACTTGCTGGTTGGTGAAAAGTGACATGGTTCTTGCCCGATGGAGTCTAATTTTCCTCCTTTTGTACCTGGGCTGGACTGAGTGACTTGTTTGATAGAATGTGGTGGAGGTGACATTCCTGGACTTTGAGCCTAGGTCATAAGAAGTCTTGCAGCTGCCATTGGGACCTCCTGAACATTCTTTCTGGGAACCCTGAGTCACTGTGTAGGAAATCCAAGTATGTTGAGATCATCACACTGAGAGAAACCACGTATAGTCATTTCAGTCCACCAGCCTTTCCAGCATCTCCACCAAGAAACCAAACACACTAGTGGAGCCACGTTGGACCCTCCAGACCAGAACAGCTGCCAGCTGAATATGTGACTACAGTTGTGCCATGTGGAACAGAAGAATTACCCAGCTGACCCTATCCCAAAGTCCTGACCTACACAATTGCATATATAATAACTGGCTGTTATTTGGAGCCGCTAAGTCTTGGGGTGGATTGTTAGGCAGCCGTAGACAACAACTGCTGGCTCCAACACACCCCAGCCCCTCCAGTCTCTGCCCCTTAGTTTACTCCATCCTGACACCTGGAAAAGCCTTCTCCCAGATCCTGGACTATCGAGATTATGCTTTCCAAGCAAGTCAAATGCAAAGGAAAAAAATCAGGCTGTGTGCTGCACATCTTCTGTTTGACCCTCCAGATGCACTTTCTGCCCTTCTCGCTACTGCTGTGCCGGGCGGCCTGACCACTATGGAAACACCAACAGGCTCGCTTGCTCTCTGATTTCTGGTTGGGTTTGGTTGATAGGGGGCACCAGCAGGAGATCAGAAGGTGGGAGGAGGGAGAAGTCAGGATGTTTACTCCCTCTCTCCCCCCACAGTCACTGGGTCAACTGCATCTCTCTACCAAGGTCAAGGCTCCCAACAGGTGGCCCTCTCCACACCATTCCCTCTCCAAGTTCCCTCCTGCCCCTCGGGCTACTGCACCAGCCTTTATTGCTTTCCCTAAACTCTGCTCTCTGGGTTAGGGTCCCCCCAAAAGCACAGCTTGAGATAAAGGTTTGAGCACAAGTAGTTTATTTGGGAAGAGATCCCAGGAAACATGGGAAGGGGAGGGCAGAAGTGAGACAGGACGTGAGAGAAGCTAATACATCCAGACAGCTTACCAGACAGGACAACTGGAGCTCAGTCCCTCAGGGGAACTCAGAGATGAACGAAGAATGTGTCCCAGAGAGAGAGAGGGAGAGGGAGGGAGGGAGAAAAAGAGAGAGAGAGAGAGAGAGAGAGAGAGAGAGAGAGAGAGATGCTGACTCAGGTATTAGTAGGAAGCAGCTGTTGCCATGTAGGGGTCATTGCTGAGGACATATGGGCAGTGCACTGACAGCTACACCTACCTACTTCTACAAATAAATAATTTGTAAATTATACAAATTCAGTATTTTTTCAGCTTTACCAAGGTATAACTGACAAATAAAATAGTAAGATTAAAGTGTATGATGGGATGATTTGATATACGTATCCATTTTGAAAGGATTTTTCCCCATTAAGTTAATGAATGCATCCATCACCTCACACATTTACCTCTTTTTGCATGTGAGAACATTTAAGTTCTATTAGCAAGCGTCAATTATACAATAATGTTATCAACTATAGCCACCATATTATACATTAGATCCTCAGACTTTATTCATTTTACAACTGAATGTAAATAATCCCTTTATTAAACTCTCCTCAATTACTCAGTTTGAATGTGTCGCCTGGTTCCTGCTGGGACCCTCAGTGATACAGGCTGGCCTTGAACTTCTCCACATCAGTACACAGTGGGCCAATGTCTACAGAGTTGGAGGAGGGATGGAGAGATACCCTCTTCCAGATTCATTATCCACAAAGTACATCATTCCTGTGTGAAGAGAAGCGAGATCTACTTTCAAACACGCAGGAATTGTAACTCTCACATACCCTTCCTGAAAAATCTAGTTTAAGATCTAATTCCAGTCAACAACAACAACAACCAACAAAAAACAAACAAAAAGAACCCCACAGAACTAATGAATAAGAATATCCCAATCTGAAACAATCCTGGTCAGGAGTATTATCTCCAGTTAAAGAATTAAGTTGTGACAATAACATTGGTAACTTAGTACCACAACACTAAATATAATTGTTAAAGTTGTGAAGGGGAAAAGTTACATAATGAAAAAAAAATCTGACTTTCAAGGCAGATGTATTAGGGTAACGGTAGTTACTGTAACGCACAGACTGTTACAAATACCTGGCAAATATGCTACAAGTAGAGTTCTTGTTCATGTAACAATTCTGGGTGGGCAGAAACTCTCCACTCAGTCCTTCTGAAGCTACAACACGTGGGTCTCAAGGTTATCCTGGGGGTCATCTCTATTCCAGCCATTCAGAGGGGGAAGAGAGTATTAAGCAGTGTTGGGGCTTTTGAGGCGCCAGGCTCAGAGGTAGCACACAACTCTTCAGTCCACATTCAATCACCACAACTGGGTCACGTGGCCACACTGAATTGCAGGGGAGACTGGGAAATGTAGTAGTCCAGGCTGGGAAGGAGCGGAGAGCCCGGATGTGGATGAGCATCTAGCAGTCTCTGCTGGAGTGGGAATGCATCTTCCTGAAGGTAGCCCTTTTTCTCCCCTTCCCACAAGACTTGTCATCATCTTCCATGTATCAGAGTCATGGGACCTTGTCTAACCTCACCAGCCAGGTAGATAGTCTTCAAAGGCAGGACACATTCAGCTTCTCCTACATCTCCAGCCCTGACCCAGGGCCTGCTGGAGAGTAGGAGCTCGTTATATGTTGGTGGAATGATGGAAGGTGAGTAGACAATTCAGATCATTGTTCACAAGCTCCTGAGATATATGGGAAGCCCTCGCCTGA